TTTCTTTCTTCATCCTTCCCTCTCCTTTCTTCTCTCTTCCTCCTCCTCCTCTTCCTCTCCCTCCTCCTCCTTCACCTTATTCTTTCTGGTAGTACTGAGGAATCAACCCAAGGGGACTCGACCACTAAGCTACATCCTCAGCTCTTATGTTCTATTTCTCAAGGACAGAATCTGCCATGTAGTCCACACTGGCCTCAAACTTCTGGTGCTCCTGCCTCAGCCTCCCAAGTAGCTTGGGTTGCAGGCTGGGAAGCAAGCATCCTGGGCTCCTTTGTTCCCTACCCAAGTCTGTGGCTCTCACGGGTGGGTAGTCACTTCCACAGTCATGTGCAGGGGGCCTTGGGAAGGGAAGGGAACTCCAGCAACAATTTCTCCAGGTGGAATCAGGAACTTATGGAAGGCAGGACGTTGGGTGGTCAGTTGTGGAGATTTTGCTGAAAGGTGGGGGTCTGTGGCCACCCTATGCCATCTCCATGAGACTGGGGAGGGGGACTGTCACTACAGGGTAGACCAAAGTGAGGAAGCTTGAGGGTCCTTGGGCCACTCTGGGCTCAGAGAAAATAATTGACCCACCTTTTATTTATTCATTTTTAAAGCAGGGTCTTTCTGTGTAGCTCAGGCTGGGCTTGAAATCACAGTCTTTCTGCCTGAGCCTCCTGGGATTCTGGGAGTGTAGGTGTACGCCACCCCACCCAGCTCTGCCTCATCTTAGAGCTTAGGAGTGCTTGCCTATTTCTCAGCCCTGGTTTCCATATCTGAAAACATAAAAACTGACAAATGAACCCTTTACCTGGACCCTACCTGCCCTGTGCGCTCACAGTAGAAAGACGCGTTGACTGCAGAACAGGAGAGAAGAAAACACCTCGGAACGGGAGGCATTGGGTCAGACAGTAGTTCTGTGCCCACAAGGGGCTAGCTGCAATGAGGCTTGTGCTGCTCCTTTATTTATTTTGTGGTACTGGGCTATGAACTCAGAGTCTCTGCACTGAGCTGCAACTCCAGCCTTTTTCATTTTGAGACAGGCTCTCATTAGATTATAAAGTTGCACTATAGGGGCTGGAGAGATGGCTCAGTGGTCTAAAGCACCTACTTGAAACAAGCTTGGCAAAGCACAGGGACCTCGGTTAGATCCTCCAGCACCACATGCCAGCCAGCCCGCCCCCTGGTGGGCTGAGCTGGCCACACACACACACACACACACACACACACACACACACTCTAAATAAATGTAATAAATAAAAATAAATAAATATTTAAAAAAAACAAGAATTTAAGACTTAAAAAATAAAGTTGCACTATAACCCCAGCACTCAGGAGGCTGAGCCAAGAGGATCACCAGCAGCTTGAGGCTAACCTGGGCTATATAATGTGAGTTCAAGCCCAGCCAGAACCACATAGTGAGACCTTGTCTCAAAAACCCCCAAACAAAAGAAAGAAACAAACAAACCCCCAAACAACAACAGTAACAAAAAAGTTGTAAAATTGTCCAGGCTGGGCTTAAACTTGTGATGCTCCTGGCTTTGTTTCTCAGAGTTCTGGGACTGTATGTGTGTGCTGCTATACCTAAATTCCTTTTTTCTTTTGATAGCAGTGCCAAACACTTTCTCCACGCAGAAAAGTTGCAAGGGTTGCAGGAACACTTCCAGGTTGATAACCAAATACTCTATTCTGTCCATGAAATGGAATAGCCAGTCCATTTACCCATCCGTTTACACACCTATCTACGCACTCGCCCATCCACCCTCTTATTAATCTGTCCATCTACCCATTCACCCATTCAGCTGCCCATCCACCTAATGCCAATTTACCCATCCACCTGTATACTGACCCATCATCCAACCATTTATACATCTATCCATCCTGTCACCTACCCATCTACCTACCCATCAATGCACCCCATCCGCTCATCCATCTATACATTTACTTGTCTTCCCATCCATCCATCCATCCATCCATCCATCCATCCATCCATCCATCCATATGTCTGTCCTTCTATCCTCCTCACTCTACCCAGTTATCCTCACACCCATCTACTTATCCACCCATCTACTCACCCATCCATCCATCATCCATCCATCTATACCCCATCCATCCATCCACCCATCTATCCTCCTGTCCATTCTTCTATCTTCCTTCTCATCCACCCAGTCATCCTTACACCCATCTACTCATCCATCCATCACCCATTCATCTATCCATCCATCCATCCATCCACACCCCGTGTATCCACCCACCCACCCATCCATCCACACTTCATCCATCCATCCATTTGTACCCTATGTATCCATCCATCCATCCATCCATCCACACCTCAGCTATCCATTCATCCATCATCCATCCATTCACACCTCATCCATCCATCCATCCATTCATCATCCAGTCTTCCATCCATCCACATCCCATGTATGCACCCATCCATCCATCCATCCATCCATCCATCCATCCATCTTCCTTCCACTCATTTGTTTTGCAGCAAATACTTATGAATGAGGATGAGGGGAGTGGTTGCTTTCTTTGCAACCTCCTGATTCCAAGACTCCCTTCCAAACAATCCCTAGGGCACGGGATAAGGTCAGGTTAATGTAGTGTCAAGAAACTACTATTGTGTCACCTTCCCTTAGAACATGAGGATCCCTGCAGGTTCCTAATCTCCTGTGGGTGCCCTATTTCCGGAGCCCAGCTGTGCTCCCCACCCCCAGCCCTCGTGGGGCCAGCAGCAAACTCCCTGAAGCCGGGAGTGGCCCTTCCAATCCGGGGCGGGCCATTCAAACGGCAAGGGGGAGCCTCGGGGCCGGGCTGTCCTGAGTCATCTCTGCACGTGTTGGCCCCTTCTGTGCAGCTAGTGGCCCCGTTCCTGGAAGCGGCTCTGGGCAGCGGCGCTCCTCAAAGCAGTCGGGGGAGGGAGGATTGAGGCTGAACCTGGAGAAGAGGCCGCACTTCGGCAGCGACTTCACAACGCGTGGCCCGCTACCGGCTGCCGGTGAGGCGCGGGAAGGGAGCTGCAGGCGCCCGGGCTCAGAGCACCCAGACGGCGCCACACGTGCGCGCCTGCACCCTGCCCGGGATGCGCGCCCTCCGAGCTGCCTTGGCACTGTCGCTCCTGGGGACGCTCCAAGCCTTCCCGCAGGTAAGGGGATGACAGACGCACGGGAGGCGCCTGAGATCTATCTACACAACCCAGCGTGGCGCTTGGGCACCGGGCGGACAGCTCCCCACCTTCTCTCTCGCTGCGGCGAGCGGTGCCGGTGACCCGCAGGGCCGGCCTGTGCAGCGTTCCCGGGCGGGAAGCTGACTGAGGCTCGTGAGGCCCCTAAGCCGAGGCTGCTGACGTGGATTCACTCGGCCCACGTTCGTGGAACTGAGGGCAAGAGAAAACGGAGAGGGCCGTTCATCCCGTCCGCAGGTCTGCGGTGTCCCGGGCAGATCTGCGGAGTCCCGGGGACTCTGCCAGCCAGGGTGACATCTGGCTCTGCTAGGCTGTGGAGAGCCAGGGTGAGAGCCTGGTGTGGCCAGGGGAGGCCCCAAGAAAGACGTTTCGGAAGAGCTTTAGGAAAACGGACTTCCCCCTGCCCCGCACGGAGCACGGGTGGGGATAGTGGGTGACCGGGCTGTGATCCACCCCCGCAGTAGAGCCCGGACCGCGAGGGGGAAGGAGGGGAAGGTAGAGCAGCAGGTCCTCTGGGAAGAGGCCACCGGGTCCTGGAGCTCAGTCTTGTGCCTTCAGGGGACGAGAGGGGCAGGCAGGGTGCAGAGGGAAGTCGCTCTTTTGCAGGGGACCCCAGGAGCCCTTCCGTCTGTCCGGGGCAGTGTGGGACCCCACCCTGCAGATGGCAGAGGCAGCTCTTTGTGTTGCCTGGAGAACCCCCATCCCAGATCCCCATGCCTGTGTCTGGGGGACACTCTGAGTTTGGAGCGCCAGGAAGTGAGAGAGATGAAAGCAAGGAGAAATGTGAGAGGAGCTGGGGTGGGGGCTTGGCGTCTGGTGGCCGAAGCTCATGCATTTCTGTAGAGCAAGCCCCCTTCTTAAATTAAAAGAAAGTGCTATTTAGCCGGGTGTGGTGGTGCTCCCCTGTAATCCCACCACTCAGGAGGCTGAGGCAGGAGGATCATCGAGAGTTCAAGACTAACCCGGGCTACAAAGTGGGCTCAAGGCCAGCGTGAGCTATATATCAAGACCCTGTCCAAAAAGGAAATAAATAAATAAATAAATAAATAAATAAATTGGGGCCAGGGAGATAGATCTGTAGAATAAGTGCAAAGCCCTGAGTTCAATCCCCAGTTCCACCAAAAAAAAAAAAAAAAAAAAAAAAAAAAAAAGTAATATAGTGAATAATACAAAATATGTGAATCTATGCCTAAAGCCACAAAGTATAAATGCTGCAGATAAAGCTAAGTTCCTCGACACTTCCTCATTCCGATGCCTCCGTAGATGTGACCGTTATCATTTTAATATTTCCTATAGAGGACTTTTCCCTACACACCCCTCTTCATACGGCTGCGTACAAATGCCTGGGCTTTTCTACAAACCCCAACCTGCAGTATGCATGCTACTTGATTAATCTTTTACAATTCTGCAGTATCTCAGAGAAGTCTCCCCACTGATATGTACAGATCCTCTGATTAATTGAAGGTGCAGGGTAGTATTCTCCCAAGTCAAGGCTAGGGATGTAGTTGGGTGTTAGAGTGATTGCCTAACGTGCATGAGGCCCAGGGTTCAATTCCCAGCGAGACGTAACAAAAACCCCACAAAAAACCAAATTGGGGGGTTTAAAAACTATTCCTGATGAATAAGCAATAAAAATGTCATCTCATTATTTTGGTTTTTTTGAGACAGGGTCTCACCATGTAGCCTAGGCTGGCCCAGAACCCTCAGCAATCTTCCTGCTTCAGCCCTCCAAGTGCTGGGATTACAGCGTGCACCGCAGCATCTGGGGATTTATTTTCTGTTAGTTTGCTCTTGTAATGTACAGCCCTATGTGGATGCTTTGGAAGAATATGGGGGGTCCTTTCCTTGAGAAGAATCAGAGAAGAGGGCACTCAGGGTGCTGAGTGTAAATTCATTCAAAAGAAAAGAGGCCAGGGAGATGGCTCAGTAGGATAAGCGCTTGACTGGCAAATGTAAGGATCTGAGTTCAATCCCCGGTTCTGCAAAAAAAAAAAAAAAAAAAAAAAAAGACCACACTGGGCAAGCTGCCTTCCAGGGGACCTGGACCATGCGCCTTCTGGTGGCTGTGCCTGAGTAGCAACTTCCCCACATCCTATCTGACACTTGATCTTCTCCTAGTTTGTGTTTGATGACCTTGACACGCTGTTCTTATTACCTTCATTTGCATCATTCCCGCCCCCCCGCACCACGCCCCCTCTCCTTGCCAGGTATCTGGGGAGTTCCTGATGCCCGCTTCTCCCTGGGCCCCTCGCACCTCTTGCATCCTCCCCTTTCCAGGAAAAGCCTCCACTTAGGGCTTGCGGTTCTTTCAGTCCTCAGCCCTGCTCTCGGCGCCAGCTGATTGGGCGAGGCTGCTCTCGGTTTGCAGCTGGATTCCGAGGCAAGAATGTGTTCTCTCTGATGTCGCCCCCCACCGTCCCCCTAATAGAGGTTTTGTGATGCAGCTGGGAATTTGTCTGGCAGCCCAGGAATTGTTCTGGCATAAATCAGGCGAGAAGAATTTGTTCTAGCATCTCCATCCATTCCCTCCAGGGACCCCCGGCTGGGGAAGGTTTGCACCTTTCTGCAACCTTGCACTTGGTTCACTTAGAGTTCCCCAAGCGCAAGGTCTCCCACCTGCCTGGGGCTGAGGCTGCCAGGACCTGCTTCCTTTGTCCTGGATCCCATCTCCCCCCAGTGGAACGGGGGCGGCTGCAGTGGGGCTGCCTTCATGTGGCTTCCACTTACAAGCTTGGCTGCTCACTCTGCACAGTGGCCTTGAAGCAGGGAAGGCTGGCTGGCTCGCTCGCTCACTCGCTCACTTGCTTTCTCTCTTTCCTTCTTTCTTTTTTTAGGCTTTCTGATTCTGGGGGGAAGGTAACTTTTCTGCAGCAGGGGGCAGAATTTACAGATACAGCAGGCTAAGGATACCGGGAGGAGGCAGTGGAGGTTGGTGGAGGCTTGTATCCTCCCCTCCCTTCCTTCTTTCTTCACTCCTCCTCACCCTCCTTTTCTTTCTTT